TTGGTCATTTGAATACCAAAAGCATGAAAGAGCTCCAATCTATGATAAGTGGCTTAAATCTTAGTCAATTCAGTTACAATACTATGACACTTGCTTTTGAAGGTTGTATCCAAGGAAACAATAAAGAGCTTCATTTTCAAGTAGAATTACAACATGTTCAAGCAAATTATTGAAAATGGTTCATTTTGATGTTTGTGGACCAATGAAGATACCATCAATTGGAAGAGCAAGATACTTTGTGACATTTATTGATGACTTCTCAAGAAAGATGTGGATATACATTATTAAAGCAAAGAGTGAGTGTTTTTTAAGATTTAAAGAATTCAAGGCACTTGAAGAAAAGCAATATGACTGCAAGATGAAAGTATTGTGCACAGACAATGGAGATAAGTACATATGAAAGAATTTTGATGAATTTTTGAGAAATCAAGGCATTGTAAGACAAACCTCTACTCCTTACACTCCACAACAAAATGGAGTTGCTGAAAGAGTAAATCACACTATTATGGAGATGGCAAGGAGTATGCTTTATGCTTAAAACCTTAGGCATGAATATTGGGTAGAAGCTATGGTCAATGTAGTGTATAGAAGGAATAAATGTCCAACAAGTGCACTCACATCAATGACTGCCCAAGAAGCTTGGAGTGGCAAGAAACCTTGTGTTTTATACATGAGGATCATTGGATGTATTGCTTATGCAAAGGTACTAGATTACATGAAGTCCAAACTTGATGCAAAAGGAACAAAATGTATATTTTTTGGATATTGTGAAGGTACCAAAGTATATAGGATCATGTATTTAGAAACCAAGAAAATCATTAAAAATCACGATGTAGAATTTTTGGAGCACAAGAGTGCTTGTGAGCATTTGGAGATGTATCGAAGTGGGAGTAATGGTGTATTTGTAGACACATCTTTAAATCTAGCAATGAAAGAAGAAGATGATGATAATAGTGAAGATGGTAGAATTTCAAATCAAGATGAAGAATCAAAGAAGATAGATCTTGAGGTACCTACAATTACTAAAACCAGCAATGAAGACAATCAAGACGTTGAAGATGATGATGGTGATGAGGAATACCAACTTTTAAGTGTGAAGAGACAAGTTTTAAGAGAAAAGAAGATTGCAAGAGCTATTGGAATGCATGAAGGTGAATCTTCATCAAGTGAAATGAGATATCCTTTAAGAGATCAAAAACAACTTGATATATAGTGGAAGAACCACGTCTTTCTTCAAGTAAGTGAAGAACATGCCAATGTTGTACTCTTTGCTGATCCATTGAATTTGTGTGATACAATGAAGTCCACAGATGCTATGAAGTGGAAGAATGTCATGAAAGAAGAATACAAATCACTCATAGACAATATAACATGGGAATTGACTCAACTTCCACCAAATCAATCTTTATTTGGTTGTAAGTGGGTATTCACAACCAAAATGGATGCAATAGGCAATGTTGTAAGATACAAGGCTAGGTTGATTGCCAAAGGATATTCACAAGTTGCTGAAATTGATTTCAATGAGATATTTGCTCCCATGGCCAAATTCACCACCATTAGAACCATCGTAGCAATTGGGGCAGCAATGGATATAGAGATGCATCAAATGGATGTGAAGATGACTTTTTTGAATGAAAAGTTGAAAGAAGACATTTACATGGATTAACCTCAAGGATTTATTGAAGATGGCAAATAAGACCTTGTTTGTAAGTTGAAGAAATCTTTGTATAGGCTCAAGCAATCTTCAAGGGCATGGTACCAACATATTGATATATTCTTTATGAATGAAGGATTTGTAAGGCATGAAGCTGACCATTCATTATATGTAATGCAATCAAATGAGTTCATATTGATTGTCATCTTCTATATTGATGATTTGATCATCTCAACCAATGCTATGAAGATGATGGATTAGTTGAAGGTAAAGTTAAAAAAAGAATATGAGATGAATGATTTGGGAGAGCTTCACTATTGTTTAGGAGTAGAGTTTGTAAGAGATCATCCTAAAAAGACCATTATAATGTTTCAAAGTAAGTATATTGAAGAGTTGTTGAAACGATTCAACATGAAAGAGTGTAAGCCTATTCGAACATCTTTGGAGGCCAATTTGAAGTTGATGTAGCTTACTAAAGAAGAGTTTGCTGAAGTTGAAGGACAAATACAAGGTATTCCATACAAAGCAACAGTGGACTCACTCATTTATGCAATGGTTGATATAAGGGTAGATCTTGTATATGCGATGAGTGTTGTGAGTTAACTCATGTCAAAGGTTGGACCAATCCATTGGACAACCATCAAAAGGATCATGAGGTACTTAAAAGGTACTTTGAACTTCAAATCATATCTTGGAAGTGATAATATTACTATGCATGATTATTGTGATGCGGATTGGACTGGAAATGTAAATGATAGAAGATCAACAATGAGATATGTATTCTTTGTTGGAGTGGGAGTAATTTCATGGAATTGCAAAAGACAACCAACAATTGTAAGGTCAATAATGGAGGCAGAGTACATAGCAGCAAGCCATAGTGCAATGGAGGCAATATGGCTAAGACAACTTTTGGAGGACATTGGATTAATACAAATAGAAGGAACTCCAATGAAGTATGACAATCAAGGATGTCTTGCATTTACAAAGAATCCAAAGCATCATTCAAGGACCAAGCACATTGACATTCAACATCACTTCATAAGAGAGAAGATTGAAATGGGAGTGTTTGATATGAAGTATTGTGCAACAGAAGACATGCTTGCTCATTTGTTGACAAAGGCATTAGTAAAGGATAGACATCGCATGTTGACAAAGGCATTAGGATTGAAAGTCTTTTGACCAATAGCAAAGTGGGAGTATTAAAATAAAAATAAAATAAAATAAAAAATAAAAAATAAGTTACTTTGTAGAGGATATTACCTTAGATAAGTTGCTAATGGTCAAAGGGTTGACTTTTGGTGTATAAAAAGGGCATCCTATGGATATAGAATGAGATCAAGGACCAAGAGTCAAAGTCAAGAAGATAAAGTATGAATTAGGGAATATCCAAAATTTAGGTAAGAGTAATTAGTATTTTACATAGGATATCTTTGTGGTTAGTAAGATGCCAAAGGATCCAAGGACCATAGGATACCCTCAAGGTATGTTAGATACCAAAGGATCCTAGGACCAAAGACTTTGACTTTTATATATATGATCATATATATAAAAGTTAATGAGGGGAAGTTATCTTTTAGGGCACCAACTACAATTTATAAGTATTGGGTGTTGGAAGTAAGAGATATCTTATTCCATACTCTCTTTGTGTACAACCTTGCTGATGTTATGTATTGTGACTTCAAAGTTCTATTTTTTCAATAAAAATCATATGGTGATACAACTTTGTGATCAAGATTTTAAATGTTATACTCCAATATATGTATATTTCAAAATAATTTTTTATCTTTGTTATTGTTATCATTTATCAAATAAAAAAATAAAATACATCTTCTTCTTCTTTTAGTTGTTTTTGTAAAGACTGTCAAGGAAGGGATCAAATGGATTAATTGAATAACAGAGGATGCAGGTTTGACAAGAAAACAATTTCCTCCAATATTGCATCATTTAACAAAGTGGGTTATTAAACAAAATGGGTTTTGCAAAATGGTTCAGAGTTAGTATCTGTACATGCTACTGCCTATGTTAGAATGCGCTTCCTTTCAAATCAAAGCTTTACACCAAAGTACAACATTCCACCACTGCCTATTTATTTCACATAAGAGCAAGCTTTTCACTCCCACAACTCACATAGTTGTGCAGATCAGTTTCTACTTCAAGGCCAATGACACTGGCAAGCTCCATCTTTACAAAATGGACTGTACATATACCATTCCTCATTTATCTGCTTCACCTACACACCACCATAAACACAGATTTTCTAATAAATTATCAGCTTAGAAATATTGCGTGAATGAATCATTTGATTTTGGATGCTTCTCTGACCCATTTCCTACGTAAACCCCTGGGGTGGCAAAAGCTGTAGGACTGCTATACAAACTCTGCTCACTGGTTCCAAAGCAAGGTAAGGTACACATCATGTGACGACAAGGTAGCAAGACAACCCTGGTGCTCATGACGAAGGATTAGGCAGCCATTGTTGGGCTCAACTAGAAACGTTCACATTTGTGTGTCATTGTGAAGCAGTGATCTTTACAGCTCAGGCTTCAAGCCCTCCTGTGCAAGGCTTACTAACTTCCTTGCACTTCTGCCACGCAACAATTAAACACATCCTCCTGTGACCAAATGCTGCTTGCATCCTAAAGGGTGATAGTTGATTATCACCTAAGTTATGTGGAGTGGTTTAATCTTCACTTCAGTAATGGACCACAACTCCGGGGTGGTCGAAGAGCGACAGAAGCGCCAATTCAGGAGATAAGAATCTGCTCGAGATACTGAAAATGCAGGAACAAAATCGTTTGAATGTTAAGAAAAATATAAAAACTCTCAACTGTGCAGATATCGAGTGTGATTTTGCGTGTGCAACTGACGATCATACTGTTGAGAAAGCCACTGCAACATAGATCCACGCTTGAAAGAGGTATGAACAATCGATCATGGGAACAATCACAGCACGGAACAAACCACACTATCGCAATGGAAACAAAGAGAGGGCAAAAAAACAAAAAAAACAAAAAAAAACAAAAAAAAATCACACACAGAAGTTGAATACCATTTTACAAAATGGAGATACTCTCCAAAAGATGTGAAAGCTTGTTGGTCGCTTTTGAGAGCCATGACTGGTTACATGACAGTTCTATCCCCACTTAGGCATTCATTCAAGAACTACATTGTTGTTCGCACTCCCCTATCCATTTACACACACAATCTATCGACATGAAATGAACATGCAGCTATACACTCAAAATGACCTATATCTTGGCGGCATCCGCTGCCGTAGATTCCTGAGCTCCTTCCTCAGGCTTCACCTCTACTTTCGTCTTGGTGGGCACACTCTCCACTGCAGACTAAGTTTCTTGGGCCGGGAGTTCCATGTCTTCTTCCTCATCCTCCTCTGGCAAGTCCTCTTGTACCTCGTCTGTGCCTCTCATACGACCCATATCAAAGTTGTTTTCTGGTACCTCATTTTCTTCATCCTCGTCAACCCACATAGTCCAGTCCACCTTCACAAATTTGGGTGGCTTTCCTCCCGCCTTCAGCAACCTCGGCCACCATCCCGTCTCCTTCTTCGCCAGCACCAACGTCGTGCGCCGCTGCTCCGTATTCACAACGCTCTTCTCCACATTGATAGCCCCGTAGAGCTCTAGATCGGCCTCAAAAGTGGTTATTGACACCCACTGTCGCAGAATACGTAAAACGGCCCTCTGTCTCCAACTTCACCTCTGGATTTTTCGCATCCAGCAGCTCCACCTTCAAGTACACCTTCTCAGAGCGTTGTGCTTACACCGTCCTGGAGTATGACTTGCCACCTCCCCGAGACTAGCAAGCTGTCCCTAGAATAGTGGTGTTCGATTGAAAACCTGATGTGGACGATTTTTTTTGTGAACATACTCAGATGTGGATTTAACTCTCACAGGAAGTTCTCTGTTTACCGGCTGGGAAGAAGCGGCTATTTCTATTAACTGCCTCAGTAGACAAGAATGTCTCGCAGGTACTTGAGTTTTGCCTTGAATGTATTTAATTTTTTGTGAATTCGTACCAAATTTTGAGTATTTGGTCATGTAGACTACTTCAAACTTTTCGTGGATATCGTTGCCAATTGATTGAGGCAGGGAGAAGCTCACACTCATAGTAGAGCATAAGATTTGTTCGTTGACATGGACACTGTCTGTGAGACTATGACACTTTCATTTCACCTCCTATTTGATTTTCTCGCTGTACCATATTATCGAACATATCATCTACTTCGGCATTTGGTGAGAAAATGTGTAGGCGTACTTACTCGCTAACTGAGTGTGGGCTCCCCAAGAGTGGAGAATAATGCGTTATATTCTAATTTGGCATTGGCAAGTGCATCATGCAAACAAGCGCAATTCTGGCTAGCATTATCCACTTTGTGTCTGTAGCATGCAATGCGGCAATTCAATTCATCCTGTAGCATGCAATGCGAAGTGAAACAATGCTTTTCGGAGGTTGTGATTGTGGACTAAAGTTTCTTTGTTATCCCACCAGGGGCTTAGGACAAGGAAGAAGCAGCAGCGTGGGCTTACGATCTTGCTGCTCTAAAATATTGGGGATCAGGAACTATAATCAACTTTAAGATACACGCATATTTCTTCGAGGAGGCTGGAGTTCTAATTGTGTCCAACAAACCAACGCATATTTTATGATATTTTATGATATTAACGCTTGGATTCGTGATGGACTGAAAGAGGGTTGTATTAAGCGTGATAATTTATGATATCCGTGGAACACATCCCAAGAATATTTTATGATGTGAAATGCAAAAATGCTGCTAGTAGCAAAAAACCTAGACCCGGTTTTTGTAAGCACATTGTGTATAATAACAAGTGAAATTGATATGTAGTTTAGTGATCGTAGCCCATTTACTGAGCTTTATTGAAGCAAACAATCGAACCCAATTGAGAAAGTGTGGTGCTTAAGCCACATTTGTAAAACAATTCCATGCTTCTATGTCATATTCTATATTAACATAATCTATCTGTGCACTGTTGGGTTGTATGTGTGTGCGTGAAACTGGATTGTCTGTACGATTTTGTTTTAGATGTTGCATGAATGCGGAATGTAAATTTTGTTTTGTAATGCTTTCGACGCTGATGTTGCATTGAATCAGTTGTTTTCATGATATAGTGCTTTGTTATTGTGTTTTTGTTTTACTTTTTGAGTTTGTCTGTTTGTTTGTTTGTTTGTTCTTTCTTTTCTTTTCTTTCTTGGGTTGATGTTTGGAATTGTTGTTGGACTGGTCAAATGTGGGTTGGACTGAAGTTGTGTGAGTAAAACTGGATTTTTAAAATTTTAAATTTCAGAAACTATTGTTTATTTATTTATTTATTATTATTATTATTCAAGATATTATATTATTACTTTATTACTTTATTACTTTATTTCTTATTTATTTGTTATTTTAAAGATTTTTTTCAGAAATTAGATTTTTGAATTTTTGAATTTCATTTTTATTCATCACTTTGTTTTCATCCAAGGGCAAAAAGATCATCCATATAATTTCTTCTATAAGGCTACATTTTTTTTTATCCATGTTTTTTGAAGTAGATACTTTGTACATAATTTACGATCAATAGAAATATATAGATGTAAGATCTTTATTGAAGTAATGTGGTTTTATTAGATTTTTATCTACATGCGATTCTGAAGCGTGCAAGTTTGTTTATTAAGTTTTTGGAACAAGCTCACTTTCATTGTCTAGTTGAACTTGTGTTGTTCTTAGCAGTCTAACTTTGACAATAATAGGAAGTAATTAGAAAGCAAATATTCAAGAACAATGTAGCAGAGGTGAGGAAGTACAAAGAGAAGCTAAAACAGCTTATTCTAGAGCACTTTTCCAAAAACGTCAAAGAGATTAGGAGAGAACTCATATGCAGCCCACTTTCCCGTTTTGATGCCGCCCACCAACACAATAACATGGTTTCACTGAACTGTGTCCGAGACGGGGTCAGCTAACCAATGCGACAATCTAGTACTAAGTCTCACCAGAATTCAATGAGTCGAGGATGTTGTTGATACCATTTAATTCAATGAGTTTGGTAGGGAAACTTCAAGTCACTCTCAGGTCATGTAAAGGTGCATTGCAATTGAAAGAAAATGCAACATGAAGTTAACCAGAAGAAATAAATCCATGAAATTGTAATACATTATTAACAAAGTTGGCCACTGATGGGAAAACTTCTGTTTTGCCAATGCAGAGAAGTAATGCCATAAAGGAAAATGTGCCTAAATTTACAAAAAACTCAATATGCTTTGCACCTACTCCCCTTGTGATCAGACAAGCAGCTGCAATAGGTCTCGTACTAGTGATCTCTTAGATCTGTAGTCTTCATATTGGAGTTGAATTAGCGACTAAGGATAGACTGTCCTTCCTGTGACCCCATTAAATAAATCATTGCGCGAGATTCTTGCTTGCAGTGTGGACATGGGGACAATTATTCAATAGCTTCTGGACGAGGGTATAGCCGTTGCTCGCCATTCAACTCTTGATTCCTGTCGTCAATTCAACGAATGCATCGCCTTTGGTTAGCACTCAACATGTCCAATCTGTTGAGGTCGACTATCGGTAGCTTCCTAACCGTCGTTTTAACTCATTAATGTCAGATGCCACTACAAGGTTAGGAGTATACCGCATTGTACAGATCTGTTGGGTTTTTATCCCAATGGTTGAATGGCATCGACCCTAGAATGGATCTCTCAGGGACAATATCTTGAGAGCACCTAAAATGCTTGTTATTTGATAACGAGGATTGCTCTGAAATTTGCAAGATGCTTTTGCAAGGTTCCTGACGGACCCTAGCCGCTGCATTCTCCTTGTCTATTCCCGCTCGCGACGAGGCACTCGTAGTAATGCCATCTCGGGCATCAGCTGCAACACACCCATTTCCATTCTGACTAGGGCTGTCACCCTGGTTCAGATCTATGGAGAAAGTAGCCGATCCCGAGTCACCACTGTCGGAATCTGAAGATCCCCTGGTGTGCAGAACAACATCTGACATAGTCGAAGTGTTAAAGACTGACTTACGCCGAGAATAGTAGCGATTAATCCCTTCATGCATCTGAAACGAATAAGATCGACCATCACAAAACACTAACTGTAGAACTTAGGCTTGTGGTGAAATCTCCTCCAAGGTTAGTAGGATTGGTCACCTGTCTTGTTTACTGGGCATACCAACTGACGATCACTTGTCTCATTCTTAGGCAAAGTATCTCTGCAATGAACGCCACCATCTTTCTCCTTAACCATTTTATCACTTCGCTTCTGTGGTAGACTCTCCACAAGTCCAAATGTCTTCATTCGTTCATCATGCCCAGCGAGGTACCATGAAAACGCTCGCCTGAGAGCTTTCCTTTCAGCAGAAATAGCCTGGAGAGGACGGGGACATCCAGCCTGGGGGTTTATCTTCTCTCTTGAGACAGGGGAATTTCCCAAGGAAACTGACTCAGTGAGCAAGCGCCGCTCTTTCGAGCTTCGCATGTCGCTAATACTTTGGATTGCATCTATCGCATCACAATACCAGCTTCGTTCGTTAGTGGGCGAGACATCGAGGTACTTCTGTGGACTTGGGGTCCACTGCTCCAAAGGACTGGAGGTGCACAGCTCCAGAGGACTAGGGGACCGCTGTTTTAAGGTACTTGGAGTCATTAAGGAGAGATCCTGGCTGGGAGGCTTGAACGTCACACTCGGGAGATTCAGGGTCGAAAACTTCTCGTCTACGAAATCCGCCGATGAAGCTGGAGATGAAGATGGGTCCCTGAGGCCCACACGAATTGTTTGCGGGCCAGAGGTTCTCGAGTACTTTCCCAAGAGCGAGAAAGAGGTTCTCCTGTGATCCAAGGTATCGTTATCTTCGCCCTCCCAGCCTGCTCCATTCGGAAATCCATCCACACTATCTTCCACATCGTATCTCCTCTCGGCTTTCCTCTTGGATATACCCTTCAATGCAACCATAGTATCCAGCGCCGCAGATGCTGACCTTTTTCGGGGTGAGAGGGAAGGGGACGAGCACGGGATAGGCGCCAGGGTAGCGTCTTCTACACTTGCGTAGAGACTCTCATCTAATTCGTCAACGTGTTCCTCAAGTTGTGTTTTCACTGGGGGAAGCTCTGCAAGGCAAGCTGCCTCAACTGATAAATGCTGAGCTTGTGAGCCCTTGGTCAGAGTCGTGCAGAATCTGCTGGGGCCGAATTCACTCGATTGGACTGAGTGCTCCAGTTGGGAAGCAGATTCAGGTTCCGTCTTACTACTGCTGCTCTGACTGCTCCAGGCAATCTCTTCAATAGAGAGAGCTTCCTTTACCGGGGACAGAGATCTTTGATGGAACACACGATTACTAAGAACACGGGATCTTTTCCTCGATCTTCGGAAAAATCCAATCACAGGGCCTGGATTTGAAAGTGGGGCACTCGTGATCGAGGAGGACGGGGGTTCTCGACAAAATGACTGATGTTTAACTTCTATTTCGCGTTTCTGCTGATTGAATGCGGCAACGGCTAGGGCTAGATGAGCCTCAATTTGATCTGAGGTAAACGCAGGTGAAAGGTTACTGTGAACTGACGACTGATCTTTGGAAAGTTCTTCAGAAGGTTCACTCCCAGACCACGAGCGGGACTTAAGGTGCCGTTCTCCTCTCAAACTTTGAGAATTCATCACCGAAGCATAAATTTCTGTCGACGCTACCCGTGAAGAACCCTGCGGTAATTCTCCACAACCTATTAGATCATTTTTAACATCACTTTGCACATTGATGGGATAGCCGCCTGGGCAAGGCGCATTTGCAACCTCAATCCAATGCACATCCATAGAATCTAATATCACAAGATCCCTAGCCATTCCTTCGCCATGACCCTGGAATCACAGAATAGAAACTGCGATTTAGATTACCAATTAAAATTGGACACATGCGGACTTATTACATCTACTTCAAAAAGAAGAGAGATTCAAAACACAACACTGAACGCAACAACGCCACATTGAGTACTTCGTAATGATCTACCCAGACTGATTTACGAGTCCACCAAGTACTCACTTCAAAGCTTGCTTGATCTACAACTGTCTGACTCGTCCACGCAGCAACTTCCGCACTCGGATACTGCAGCAGGTCACTCGCAAGAGTATTTTTAGACGACTTCGATGCAGCTCCTGATGCAACAAACCCCTCTTCAACCTGGCGACTAGTGTTGCGTGTTAAATCAGACTGACCATACATTGCTTTCTGAGAAAGAGAATAGGATTTCGGAGAAGGTCCTACACGGTGAGAATCATTGCAAGCTCGCCCAACCAAGGCATCAGTATCTGAACTGCACAGTCAGGTGATTTCAGGATGAAGGCCCTCGTTAGAACTGGAGACTGCAAATTTCATTATGTGAGATCGTACCAGTGTGTGAAGCATATTGTCTCAAAATCAGATCATGCTAGATGCGGATGATAATTACCCAAGCCATTGCAACAAGGCCCTTCTTGCAACATCACCACATTTAAGAGAACACTTACCAGTGTTTAGACGTATTGTGATGTGCATCCAAGAGCATAGGTCCAGATAAACATTTTCGGAGCTGCTTGATGGGCGCAATGCCAGTATGATGTTGCTCATCATTCTCTTTAGCATGCCCCGAGGCGTCACAAGTTTCTTTGCGTTGGAGATCCTGGTTGACAAGCTCATCTGGCACATCCTTAGCCGTTTGCACCACGCCACATGAGCGCAAGTGGCTTACCTACAAGACATTAAACTTAGAGGTACACTTCCAAAGGGGTAATAGGCAGATGGATAAGCAAGTTATTGGACGATTAGAGGAGGATCATGGTCGGCGAAGCAAATTTAAACATGAAATGTATAACAAGAGGTCTATCACTCGGCAGAAACTTAGCTTCACAAGTGAGAATCCTAGTTTTCCATCGATGGAAGAGAATACATCAGAGCAAATAGATCATTTTCTAATTTGAGGTTCTGCCTGGCAGTAACATTCGTTGTTCCAGCAGCAAACACATGTAATGAAAGTCGTGCAGAACTTGTGCATCGAACATACCTCCTCCCTTAGTTTCTTGGCTTCAGCTTCTTCACTGGCAAGCCTTCGCCGCAGTTCAGCGACCTCATCCTTCAAATCGTCCACATCTGAGCGCCTGGCAATCCCAAATTCTCTTCTGAAACTAGATTCCAGGCTTCTCTCAGATGCCTTCTTGAGGGTGTTAATGCTGATACAGGTGTTCACGGAGGTGGTGGGTATTTTGAATGCCTCCGTATTTTCATCTTCACCGCATCTACCAGTGCGTGGCACCGACTGCAGATGAGGGTGGTCATAGTCTCTACACCCTGTACCCAAGAGAAGAGAATAACAAAAAATAGATAAATAAAATTAAAATTAAAATTAAAAAATTAAAAAATTAAAAACCAACCAACTATAAAGGAAGCGTCCAAATGTCAGCACCTATATGACATGAGTTTCCAAAAGACAAATGATGTAAAACATAAGCTGGCGAAAAAGAGACCTGACCATATCTAGGAAGTCGATGGGTGAATGGATGAAGTCTCAAATCATGCGGCTTGTTGGAAACCTTCGCCTGCACAGTTAACTAAGGTTTAAGTGCGAGAGATTCATACACATACTAAAACATCTCACATTAACTCATTCACTGCATGGCAAATTTGATTTTCAACATTCCTTATCAAAATATACATTGATACGAATTGATTAGTGGTGAGGTACCCTCTGTTGCTAGTTCTTCACATACGACCATCGTCACATCATTGAAACGCACTTCCGGTTTACATTCTTGACAATGTCTTCCACATTAAATGTGATTTTCCAGTACAAGGTAGTTGAGTGATTGCATCTCATTGCATCCATCAAAAACGAAACCATCCAGGCACAGGATTTCAATTCAATCCTTAAGATGCGTTTCAAGCAAGCGAGATTTGCTCCGCGTTGTGGCATGTTCACATTTCCTCACGTTTCCATAATGACACCCATTGGCACGCCGAGGTCAAGCCTACCATGCACCCAGAAACACAATGGCTTTCGTCCTCACCCGTGTTGCTTGCAGCCAAAAAAATCGAACGTAACATGCAGTCGGGAAGTAGTTCTCACCTGCTGTGACTTCGAACATTTGACAGACTTTTCGGAGCACAACTTCGGCAGGAAATCGGGTCCACTTCCAAGACAAGCCCACAGCCACCCCATCGCCCAAAAGGTTTGAACCGCTGCCAGAACCAAAAACCACTTCTTTGCAACAGAATACTCAAAAACTACCGTCGTCGCTCAGCAGAGCAATCGTGGGTCCTCGTCACGGGGGCAGCTCCACCTCAACAACATAGCAGTTAAGGCAACACTAAATAAAACCCCAAATGCCGAAAATCTTGCAGCTGGTCTGCACATCAAACAACACCTGAGATAAAAGTCTATACACAATTTACTGGCGGCAAATTCTGCATGACCATCGGCCGCGTCCACAAACCACAAACCAAGTTTCAGAACAATCACTCCCTCACACGGCAATTCAACCCCTTCTAATTCTCTCCCACTCACGATCCGCGACCAGTTGGCCTTCAATGGCACGAAAAACAAGGGAGTAGAGGACCAAACGGCTAAATTATAGTATTAAAGCGACACGAGGACAATTCAGCGCCCAATGTAGTGGTCCGAGCAGCCATCTGCGTGCTACAGTTGTGGCAGGTGACCAGATGAATTCAAAGGAAGAGCACTTAGCAGTATTCAAAGCTTCCCCCGCTGGACAAAGCGGGAACAAACCGTAAAGCGCAGGAGACCGTTGGACGACACTTTGCCGGCTGAAACGGACCAGAGGCCCGGCCACGGTGTTTGTGGCCCATAGGGTATCGAATGTCCCGGATATGATTTAAGTTCTTCCTTACAAATGCATTTCACATGCCCGAGTTGTTGAGATGTTGTCAGCTTCGAAAGGCCCATTACAGGCACGCGGCACCATTGGTCTGCCTAATTACGGCAATGCAACACTATCTTAGACGGAATTGCCACCATTATCAGCTGCGTGTCCCGCCTTAGCCTCTTATTACTCGCTAGTTTTTGAAATTCAGGTTTTAGTGGGAAGTGATGGTAGTATCTTTGCTGGCGAAGATGCCCGCTCCCTCCTTTTTTCGTTACACTCTGCCTCCACAAACTGTGCATTTTGCTGCGTAGGTGGCGCTGATTCTTCATTCCAAATTGTGGGTACTCTTCCTAGGTAATGTGACGAAATGCCGGTGTATTGTGCATATAATTTGGTGACGCCGGGGTGATCGATGGCGCTTCCGTGGCATTTAACTAAGAGCTCTGAACCCATTGTACTCCCTTCCTTGGCTCGTCTCTCATGTGCGACAGCCTTGCCATGCCTCCCTCTTCTTATTCTTCATCGTTCTACTTCGTTGCTCTTCTGCTGCTTGTGTTGCGGCGGGGGTTTGTGTAGATTGCATTGTCATCAATTCGGCATCTGCTTCGCATGTGTCATGACATTGCGTGCGGTGTGTCGAGGGTGGATACTTGTGCAAGCTCCGCTTGTGGGTGCCACTGCGATGCTCTTGTGGCATGGTCGCCACTTTTAGGGCATTCTCCGTTGCAACTATCCGATATAGTGTGTATATGTTTGTTTGTGTGCGTGTGTGTTGAAATTATGGTGTCAATGTAGGTCTTTCTTATGAAGACTTAGAGTAAGTTAGAACATAGTTTTATTGTTGTTATCATTTCTTTATTTCATTTAATGCCCTATTCATCTTTGCAATAAATATATATATATATATATATATATATATACATATATGTTATCTTTTGTTTGTAATAAGTCTTCGAAATGAATTTATTTGTTCAGAAGTAGCGATCCATAATTGTTGTATATTTTTTTGTCTTCAAGTTTTGTATCCTTCTTTACTCATGATCTATTAGTATGATTGTGCTATCAAAAGTTTTTGGTTTGGGTGGATGATGCCAAATTTATAAAATAATCATAAAGAGCATACCTACTAAACGTATAAAAGATTTTTAGAAAATTTCTATGCATGTCCACAAATAATATATTTGCATTAATATTTGAGTTGTTCCAATTTATTTTGATAATAAGCAGAACCTAAAAATACTTCTTCTTTTCAGTTCTTGAATGTTGTTTCACAACACAATAGAATAATAAATGCTTCTTTCTTGATATGTTGATCATATTAGTAGGCTATTAAGGTAAGTATGAAAAATAATAAGAATTTTTATTAAATTTGGTAATTGTATGTTTGTTGTTAATTTATTGATTCTTATATTTTGATGATGAATAACTAAAACCTTTGATGATTCAATCTATTGCAAGATCAATTGATTTTAGAATCACAACACATTAGTTGTATATCATTACTAACTTTGTATATAAATCATTAGGTTTTAAAATTATTGTAAATACTATAATAATGGCAACAAAATATTTTTTACCTTTGTAACAACAATATGAAGATTGACTTCTATATTATTTTATAATTATAATGAATTTATAGTAGATAGAGGATTCAATTTTAGAACAAAAGTTTAATATATTATGATTATAGTTTTATAATTAATATACATGATTGTGTGTATCTTTTCAAAATTTATACATTATTATATGTGAATATATTTCATGTAATTTATTATATCTATGCTACTTTTTTTTTTCTTTTTTGTTTTTTGTTTTCATAAATAGTTGTATATGTGTAATACAAATAATAAAATGTTATATAATTTTGTTGTTTTAAAAATGTGTTTTAAATTCTATATGCATAGTTGTAAGAATAATAAGGTATTTATTGAAAATCTCATATATATATATATATATATATATATATATATATACACACACATTAGATTTTACTTTTTAATGTTCCTATTTTTTTTTATCATAATTTTTATATTAAATATTGTAAAAACACAAGCATGTGTTTATGTAATTTGAATAAAAACTAGTGTTTTATGAATACATGCAAATAATATAGAAAACAATCTGATGTACATAGTATAGGTTTTTGAAATTATAATTCCACATGTTAAAATACAAACATAACTAGAATATATGAAATATAATAATTATATACATTTATCAAATAGTTCTTAATATAATATAATATAAGACGCTAGCATTATTCCACATGGATGTTTAAAAAAATATTATTATTTAGGAAGTGGTTCTTATTTAAATTATTGTATCTTATAAAAATAGTATTATTGCTATTATTTGTTTGAAAACATTATTTTTTCTTGCAAGTTAATTTTTTTTTGTATGATAAGCACAGATATTGTTGCCACTACACTACTTTTAAAACAAGCCCATGTTGACATTTGTTTTTTAATATTAAATGCTTGTGATTTTATTATTATTATTATTGATAACATACATAAGGATTCATTTCAAGAGTTCATTTGAATCATATTTATTCAACATCTGAAATTTTAATGGATCTCACCGATCTTCAAAACGTTTTACAAAATTGATGTATAAAAGGTGTAAAAGCCACAAAGAAACAATAGAATATATAAGTTATTGAAAAATATTATTCTCAATTATTTATAAAGACATTTTTAAAAAAATAAAATAATATTTACATTGATAGATAGGAATTTGCAATTGTATATATAACACGAATTTTTTTTGTTGTATATACAATTGAAAATTGTGCACTTATGTCAATAATAAAGAATCAAGACAAAACTGATCATATTAAACAATTTTTTAGATTTTAAGGCAGAAATTTTAATGTCATAGTTGTCTACCAAACTTGATTATTTTATGTGAACATATATCTATTATGGTAGTAGGTAAAAAAGCATATTTATTAATGTATCAAAAAAAAAATACACACAAAAAGAAGTCAAATCACCACCTACTATCTTTTTTTTTTTTCTTTTTTCTTTTTTTTGTTCTTTTTGCAATATAAGATGTATTTTCTAACAATTCTACATCCAAGAACATTGCACTTTGTCCTACTTTCATTAAAAAGTAACCTCCAACACATTTTTCCATCTTGAATATCATCTACTTAAGTACAATTTTGTGTGGACTCTTGTTTTGTGCTTCATCGAATCTATGGTCATTGCTTTGATTCTACTCGACAAGATTAGGGTTCGTTTTTTTGCCCTATATCGGGTTTTGGTTTGCACCGCATTCCACAAAGGTGAGTACTGGAGGATCACAATGTTACTATTCTTCACCAGTGAAGTCGAGGATTGGTGATAGCGAGAATTAATGTGCTATTCTACGACACTCACTCTTTCGTTTGGAACCACGTAAATGTGGGGTAATGAAAAGGGCAAGTGGATATTCCGACATGTCGCAGACAAGAGAGCGATTCAGTTGCGTCTTGCTTTTCAGGTTTTTCTTTTTGTGAAATTCGTAGAACTGGATATTGTCAGCTGCTGGGGAAAGGGCCGGAGTGAATAAACAAATGCAGCTGGACCAAACCCTCATGACACGTTTGTTATTGACAGATTGGTTCGACTTGTCCAGTTTCTACTGTGGCCATTGTTTGGTTGCAATCTGGAACAGGAACTGACGTAACCCTTCTCCATGACAGTTTCTGACTAATGGAATTTTCGGATTATTTAGGGCTAGAGAACGACGCTCTTATCGTATTCAGAAGCTCGTGATCCGGAGATGAGATCGTTCACGTTGAGTGGAAAGCTAGCGCCGCGCAGACAGCTGCCCTCATTTCATGTACGCTTTGCCCGGCTCGTCAGGGACAAGGCCCAGGAGCGCCGTCGTCGTCTTCATCGTCGCTGTCCCGCGTGCGCTCCAACTCGGAAGGTGGAATCTTCAACTTGTTCATATTAAGGCTCAACCTGTGAAAACACTCGTCGCTAATCGCGTCCTCATCCTCTTCCTCGATCCAGTAATCCCAGTCGGCCTTCACAAACTGTGGTGGCTTGCCCTCCGTCTTCAACAACCTCTCCCACCAGCCCCTTTCCTGCTTCTCAATAACGCAGAAAGGCAAGCGGCGGGCCTTATCCATCGTGCTCGCACACACATTCACGCTCTTGTATAATTGCACATCCACTTCATATACAACATCCTTCGACCTCGCCCGAAACGTGAACCGACCGTCCGGCTCCAGCTTCAGTTGCGTGTCCGTGGCGTCCGGAAGCGCGACTGTCAGATAGATTGTGTGGGATCGTTGCGCCCACAAAATGTCCGGCTGACGGGTCCTCATAGTCACAAATTTTGCGACTCGGCAGTGAAGACGATGATCTCGACGACGCGATCGCGAGAGAGAGAAAGACTTGCTCACTTGCGTTTCCAACTGCTGAGTGTCGGCGATGGTGAAAGAAGGAAGGGGTCGACTGAGAGAGTGCGGGAACTCTGTTCCCGAAAACGTTCCCGCCCACTGTGCCCGTTCTCGTGGCGCGTTCAATTGATTAATAAGGACCAATTCTAGCTTTTTTGTCTTTTTTGTTCGTTTGTATTGTTTTCAGCATGAAAGATTCTTTCTCTCTCTCTCTTTCTCTCTGTGTATATATATATATATATACAGACAGAGAGAGAAAGAGAAGATCATTTTCTTTGTGCTAGCAAGCAAGCAAACCCTGGACTGGTAGTTGGGATTTGAGTTGTCAACAACTTGGTACCAATAACGTCATCTTTTAAGCACAATACACAGTTACGAAAATAATTGATTCTAATAATTGTTGTTATTGAAATTTGATAAAAAAATATATTATAATGTAATATTGTATATATATTTTTATGTATAATATTAAAATTTGTTTCTTAATGTATTGATTCAAGTGTTAAATTACTATTCAGTTACTCATTGTAAATATTCCTAATTTATTAATACATAAAATGAATATATATATATATGTATGTATAATTATTTAAAATTTAAAAAGACAACCAAAAAAATAATTTAAAAAATAAAAATAAAAAATAATTTTAATAATTTGATTCATTATTTCCCTAAAAAATTCAAAAAATATTAAGTTCATAAATAAAGTTGTTATGAATGAGTAACCATTTTTAGAAAAAAGAAAAGAGAAGAAAAAGAAAATAATAAAAGCAGATTTGTGTGTTATCAATTAAAAATGTTATATTATTTCCAAATTTTAGATGAAACTTTTGTGAAGCAGACAAACAATAAATAAATATAAATATAACAACTTTAAAAAAATTGCAACAAAAACTTTGAACAATGCACAATCTCTTTTTAGAATGGTTTGGATTTATAAAAGTATCGATGTTGATTTTAATGTTTAAGAAATGTTGGATGACCAAAAAATGTATGTCAAAGTCCTCACACAATTCTTTAACACATGTACAATAGCAAAGATATTTTAGCATCAAACGTACATGCTTGTTTACTTGCTTTTAATACCTAAAAGTCTATAGTTATCTTCATTCATTAATTTAAGTATGTACTTCTTCAGTCTTAATTCAGTTTATTCTATTTTTATGCCAGTTGATTAGTATAAAACTTTGGTGTATTGTATTATACACAAAAACAATTGTGAATAAACTAGTGGTTAGTTTTTACAATGTAAATGTTCATTATACTTATGCACATTTTAAAAATTAGCCAAATAAAAAAACGTAATACAATGAAATTCCAAACAGCTATATTTCAAATCTTTAGAATATAAAAATATTTTCTATATATTTTTTCTTACAATTTCCTGACAGTTTTACTTCATAAAACTTTAGTCAATGTTATTGCTACTATCAGCAAGAAGTTGAGACCATACCAACTTAAATTACAAAATTGATATATATATATATATACATTGAAGTTTTTTTTTTTTTTAAATAGTTCTATTATTTATTTTGAAGTGGACTTTATGTGTTATATTTGTAAAACATCTCAAACAAATCAACTATTAATTTTTTTGTTCTATTCCAGATATTTTTTTAAAGGAATTTGATCACTTATAATTTCAAACTGTCATTAACATAAGTCAAATGTTATTGTATCATACGAAATTAGTAAAACATAAAAAGTAAAAGCATTTTTCTTTAATGTAATGATTTCCCACATATGGATACATATACCATATAGTTATAGTATTACTTTTTGAATTTTATTTCAACGTCCACAATCAACGTACATAAAAACATTAGCATTTTTTCTAATTTAGTTTTTATTTTAGTTTATTTGATGTTTGGAACAAATTTGTGCTTTACAATATTCATATTTAGAGTTGTATAATCAATTTTTTACTTCACAGTTTGCTCTACAATTTTATGTTTAAGCTCCTTCAAATTTTGATAAAATCTACTTTATTTTATTTTTTTTTATTAACTCAACCATTGGATTCTAAAACCTTGTTTTAATACTTGGAGATGATTTTAACTTATACAGATTGATTGTTTAAATATATCAGTTCTGAACCCTTTGATATATAATCATAAACATATACACTATAAAATTAACTCATAAATTTTCTTTTATTTGTAATGATTGGATGATACATACTATACTATGTGACACAAAATGGACATTTATTGATATATGTAATTTTTTTTTAAAAAAATTACAATTAATTCTTTGTATTTCAATATATTTTTAGAAAAAAATCTTCTTAATCTATATCCAAAATTGTAATGAAGAGGTCGTCATATCAAAAAGACAAGGTGAAAGGTGGAATCTTTACAATCTTTTAATTGGCTGTAAAATTGAGAAGCTTCTCAATTTTAACAAAACCAAATGATTTAAAAGATTTAGCCTTGCATTATGCCCTCATAGTATAACAACTCCAAAGGACATTACCATACTTGACACCACTTTGTCTACAATACCCTAATCAATTCAGTAGTCATATCCCATTCATGTCAAAAAAGAAACAGAACAAAAATCCCACATACTGAATACACACACACATACACATACATGCATGGTATCATTATAATAAAAGAAAGTGAACTTGCATTTATACACATTAAATCCTCAGCATCACCCATGCCAGGAAAGAAAAAAAAGCACAAGGGCTTATAAGGCCTGTAGCCTGGTCAGAAAGTAAGCAAGCAGGATCCTCATTTACTGCAATGTGGTAGATGGCAGAGGAGTAGCTTCCATCATTTCTCACTACAATGACACCTCTCATTCATTCATGAGGACAAGGGTGAATTTGCATCCCCTCATGGAGCCCCTTTGGGGACTTACTGACCAGCCATCTCATATTTGCAGTCCCTTATTTCAGTGCACGGGGCATGATGAGTGTGGCTGCTCTTTCCCATGCCTTGCCATTAAATGGTAATGCACTGCAATCCCCACCTCGGCAAGCTATGGTCTGCACCTTTCGCTTAATGAAATGGGGACACTGATTCAGGTGGGTCCTGTCCCCATCCCACCATGGGTTTCTTTCCCCCACCCCCCTGTTTTTTTTATGGGGTTTGTTTTTTCTTGTGATTTTCTTTTGTTTAAATAATCATGTGTTTTTTTTTAAGTAAATACAATTTTGAATTATTGTTGAAAATTTTAGAGATGTTTGTGTGGTTAAAGATAAATATAAATCTAAAGTTTGGGGGTGAATTCTTGCAATGCAAGAGAAATTTGAGAAAATAGTGAATTAATTGCAAAAGATGGACAAAATGTGAGAGATGAAATTGATGTTGACAAAATTAGACTAGAAAATTGAGGTTGTTGTTGTGGTAATAGTTTTCATGAACTATAAATGCAACTGTTGGTACAAAGCTGCTTAGTTGTGGAGTTGGTGACTGTCTACATTTTTTGAAGCCCAACTCTAAATGAAATCAATGTGATACCATGATGTCAATAGGCTTTACCAAATTGCTTGTTGATCAACAAAAAGAAATTAACAATAACTATACAACAATATTATCTTATTAGCATCTTATACCATAAATTGAAACTCAAAAAGCCACCATGTAAATACAAGTATCTCATAAATTCTCAAGTATATATAATTTACCAATAACAAGCTTCAAGAAAAACTACACATTCTCTCTGTCTTCTTTACAACAGTCTCAAAACTTTACAAGAGCAATTTAATTAATTATTGTTAATAATATTGATAGAATTTTTAATAGGATCCTCTTTTAAATTATAATTAATAACTGATTTTACAACTCATTTTATTGTGTTAATTTCAAACTAAAATTGTCTGATATTTTTGTAAATCGAAGAAGAAATTAGTGCTAGAAGTTCAGATGCTATATTAAATATCTTTGATTAGTTTTTCTAAAATATAAATCATTTTTCCATGTAAATAGTTTACACATGCATCATCATATACATAAAAAATTTAAAATTTTTTAGAAAACTAAATATCTAAAAATTATATATTCATACATATATCCACCCACAAACTCATTAGTTATTATTATAACTGAATGGGCGCCAGCTACCCCTGGCTCCCCGCCATAGATGCTCTCCTCTTCCCAGCACGATTTGAAATTAGGGAATTTCCTCGAAGGAGAGAGTGTACTCCTACACAGGAGCAGAGTTCTTGAATAAGCTTCCAGAAACAAAACAGAAAATCTGAAGGACGACGAGAACGACGAAGACGACGAAAAACAGAATAAGGACGACGATGATCAGGACGAGGACGACGAGGATCAGGACGAGAACGACGATGACCAGGACAAGAACGACGATGACCAGGACAAGAACGACGATGACCAGAACAAGAACGACGATGACCAGGACAAGAACGACGATGACCAGGACAAGAACGACGATGACCAGGACAAGAACGACGATGACCACGAGGACGACCTACCGCGGTGGTCGAGCAGGTTGTGTTCGCACAATATGAACAAAAAACATTAGAGATGTACTGGTGCAGCATTATAGTAATAATCCTATGCCGCCAAATGCAGCTTTTTGTGCCAGATTTAATTACTCCGTCCAATAGCAGAAGTTGCGTGCTCCCGGTTCAGCACCGCCGTTGCGCCGTTGATTCATTGCTCCCTGAACAACTAACTGCACCAGCACCGATGCGAGAGGGTATCGACATGGATCCGCGTGGTTGTCGCCGTCGCCGTTGTGGTCGTGCCCACCAGGCGACCTTCCCTCTTCCACTCTGTAGGTCTCTGTTCCGGAGGTTGCCACTCGGTCTATCTTCATCGTTTTCTGGAGGAATTGCTGCAAGTGGTGCGGTGGATCTGTCGGCTTATTGACGAGGCTGCTTGTTGATGTTGTCAACCCTGTTTCGCAGCTCCGATTTTGTTGAATGTTTCCGAATTGCGGAGTTGAACGGAGTCAATATATTGCCGAAGAGGGAGAGCTACGTTGTTCTCGTGGTTGTTGGCCAACGCTTGGTCTGGTAGGTTTGGCATTAGCTGGTGAGGAGGTGTTGAGAGGAGTACAATCGTAGTTTCGTGTTGACGAGAGTTGGTGTTACTGCCGAGGATATCGTTGTGGTGGTGATTCTCGGTTACGAATTTTGAAGTGGATCTTCAGGTTAGCGGGGTTTTTCCGGTGCTTTGTAGAATGAATTGAATAAGGCAAGTAAACTTGTTAATTTCTGTTCGTTGATGGCGAGCAGAGATGTGCTCTATATTTTTAGCATGCCAATTGTAGTCGCTTGTTGCCCAACAGCTGGCGCAGTTGTTTTCTGTGAGAGCATTCACGTCCAAGATTGTTGTGAGGCTCTGTATTTCGATTCTGCTTAGGCTTTCGTTGCTATCCTCTTCTGAATGCTTTTTTACTTTCTTTCTTCAACATTACAATTTTAATGTGGTAAACTTTCTTCTGTTTTCTGGAACCTGGACGTGTTTTTCTCGTGATGATGTTTGATAATAAAAATTCGATTTGTTTCAGATGGCAGATAGATTTTACTGGTGAACTTGATTAGTCCTTGATTGGGACAGAAAGCGAGTCTGAATCTTTGTTGGTCCAGTTCTGTCTGTAGATCCAGAAATCACATATATATTTTTGTTCTTATTACGGAATTAGTCTCACATCGAGGACGAGAGGCTGGTGATATTCAAATTGACCTTTAAATTCTATCGCAATGTATATAAGTGCGATTTGCCTCTGTAGGACCACACTACCTCTTGTTTTTACGTAACCTAGATCAAGCCGCAGATTAAAAAAAAGACTTGCATGAGTGGAAGTATTTGAGCTATGAGCTTCTCCATTCACTAATTGAGCGATTAGAGGCGCAGCAGCCATTACAATGATACATGTCCACTTGTAGTTTTACGTGAATTGAATTGTAATTCATTCTATTCTTATACCAGACGAATGATTCATTCTCTGACACACATGTCATTTGAGCTTTTGTAACATTAATGAATGCTTGTATGAATGAAAATGCAAGCCTATGCCTGTACATAGCAGTCAGTTGCAAAACTAGGTAATCAGGAGAATGACATCTTTTGGGCTGAGCTTTAGGGTTGTTCTTCGGCCAGCTTTGTATGCTTGTATCTTTGTGAATAGGACCTCATGGTGTTGTTCCTTTTCCGTGTAGGTCTTGATTCGTTGAGACTACTCCTTGCGCGCTATTCAGATAATGTTACACGTTCCCTTCTGAGATGTCTTCGCAAGCAGATTTCATTACGATGATGATCCCAGGTTTCACTACCCCTGGCTCGACCACGCTGCGAAGAGCAGTTCCATTTCATGACAATATGGACATGTTGTTTGGGGAATGGAGTGGTGGTGGAGAAATTGCTCTCTGGTTCGGCTCGGTGTTATCTGGCATCATGTTCTGCAAGCTTGTGCGTTTCTGTGCTAATTACGTGCATATAGTCCAGATCTTTTTATCATTTCAATCGATTACACTTTATTTCGTACGCTACAATTATACGATAGTTTATACGTCAGCATCAACATAGTCTTTCTGTTGAAAATCTTGCTCAATGTTTTTAAATGTATGCAGATGTACGATTTTTCCAAAGACATTAGCCCGAACACATTTCCAGGCTACAACAAACTGACGAGAACGCAGAAAGTGGAATGGAACAATCGGTGTGTTTTCTTTTCCATGTATTAATGCATTGAAAACTGTTAGTTGAAAATATAAGGTTGTCGAGTCTTTCCAAATTTGTTTTAGTTTTAGTCACTCGTTTGCTACTTGTACAAGGTATGCTTCCGTGGAAATGCCACATATGTTTTTATCTCATGCCATATATGTTTTATCTCATGCCACATATGTATTTCATTGTAGAGTGTAGGTTGAGTTTCATTCATTTCTTGTGCAATCTTGAAAATGCTACAACTACTCTAAAACGAATAAGTGTTCAAATTGTTGATCATCTCTTCTGTATGTTTCTGCAGGGCTTTTTCAACAGCTCATGCTTTCGTTTCATCTGCTATCGCATTTTACTTGTTGTATGTCAGCGACATTTTCCGAGATTCTGCTCCTTATGGACCTGTTATGTTCCGAAGCTCCATCCTCTCCCAATTTGGTCTTGGGGTAGGTTGTCCGTTCTTTTGCTTTGCACGTTGATGACTTCGATGATTGAGCGTTTCTCTGAGAAGATTTGATGTTTCCTGCATGCAGCTTTCTGCACTTCATTCGCATTTGAATTTTCTCCTTAAGAATTAATGACTTGTTGTGGTATGCATCATTAGTTTTCTTGCGGATATTTTATCGCGGACATGGGAATGATAGTTGCATTCTATCCAACTTTAGGAGGCTATGAATTTGTAAGTTTTTTCTGTTACGGAGAGGGAGCATCAGAATGTTTTGCATTGGATTTTATGTGATTTTGGCGTTTGTTATTCCTTTAATTTTTCCTCCATTTAATTTTTTGGTTGCGAGTGTTTCTTTTTTCTTTTTTCTTTTCTTTTATCTTATTTGCTACTTATTTACATAGTTGTGTAACGTATGTTGTGTTTTCAGCTCCTGCATCATTTGGTGTCAATGCTGGCGTTGATTTTAGCCGTACACTCTGGGCATGCTCACTTGTATCTGTACATTGTTCTTTTGTCGGAGTGTACAACACCTTTCATCAACCTGCGCTGGTATCGCCTTATCATTTTTGTGCCGTTTAAACATCCTCTCGTGCTGGATTCAAATTTCCAATTCTCCAACTGTGTGTATCAAACTTTTGATTTCCAAATATCAAAATGATTGGAAGGCCTGCTATGTGATTCAAGAACGTCAATGATAACAGGTACCTGACTATACTGGACCTCAAAGGCACAGATGTGTACCTATATAACGGAGTATTCACTGCCTTTTTGTGGCTGGTACGTAATCTACTTGTACTTCGGTGATTTTCAGTCTTCGTAGTGTTGGAGGGGCTTGGGGCCCAATACATCTCATTCGGACGTTGGAAATATGTTTGCTTTCGACCTATTGGAAAGGTTTGTATTTGTGCTTTCATTTCCCTGTTGGTAGTGTCTGATACCAGGAACTTCTGTGGTCGTTGGGGCATTTGCAGATAGCTCGTGTGATCAACTTCGTGTATTGTTTCGTTCATCTATACCTTCATTTTGACCAGGTGAGAACCTTCTACATCCACTATTCTCCATTGCATTGAAAGGTATTAGTCCTCAATTGTTAACCCTACCGACAAAAATCATAAAAAGATTTACATGTTGCCGTTTGGAACAGGCGAAGCAGGTCCACACAGCAGGATTTGTGTTCCTGCTGGTTTCACCAACCAGCCTGGGTTTGATGAACATATTCTGGTTTTACAAAATAGTGAACGCCTTATTGCGCACATTTAACCGCAAACATGCTCCTTAGTTTCCGCGCCGAGAGTTCCAACTTCATTCTTATGTCAATCTCAACGAGATGAGGTTGTTTTAGACTGATCATCATTAACCCACTAGAGTAGCAATCAACTTGAGCTGTCTATTTAAATCATGTGCTTCTTCCTTGAAATGGTAATGTACACTGAGCAACTCTCCACAGGTCGTCCGTCGTGTACGTCGTCTTGTTATCCTCCAAGAGTCGATGGAAATTGCAGTTTTGTTGCAAATGGTGTACCGCGCACTTTCACAATTACCTCTTGCAACAGAACTCACGCGCAGGAAAATTTTCACTTGCCCATCTAGTTTTGAAGCGTCTCCAGCAGCTGTAGTGTTACTTTCAAGGGAGGATCTGAGAACGTGCCTTCAAGTGTGTGTGCTGACTGAAGGCACCGAAATGACGGATTTCTCTTGCAACTTAGAATGTAAATTGTATAACATAGAATGACGCAATTCAGAAACAGGCTCCTGATCTTCACCAACAGCCACAAGTCACACAAAGTCTGGTTTATGGGATATGTGGATACAATGCAGACCGCTGCAAAATCCACGGAACATGTTCTTGGATCGAGCCAGCACCATGGTGCTGTGACGATGATCGCAGCTCAAAGATCTATCCACATGCAACTGGTACGTTGCGAATTTTAATTTTGTCGTCGGTACTCGTTAATTCTGTTGGGATTTTGAAACAAAGTGAGAAGTTGTCCATTCACAGAGTTGCTGAAGGGTTGTTGCTGAAGGGTTGTTGCTGAAGGGTTGTTGCTGAAGGGTTGCACCTATTGTTAAAGCTATACATTGGTTGCTTATATATCTTCAATTATATCAAATTCTAAGATGTCAAAAAGAAATACTTGTTGAGGACCAATTTATTAAAAAAAAAAATCGCTTGTATATTCTTTGAAAATCTCTCTTAATTTGTTTTCTTTTAATTATCTTCTTTATTGAAAAGAAAAAAGTTAATAATTATATTAAAAAGATTAAAAATTAAAATATAAATATGCTGTGGTTTATATATATATATATATATATATATATATTAGAATTTAAATCATATACAAAATATTTATTTATTTTTGACAGTAATAGAAATTAAATTCATCAGTGAGAATATTTTATTTTATTTTGTATTTTAATTGAAACTTGGAATAGCACTTTTCTACAATGCTTGAGCTCCACACAAACCTTCTACCTTTGCCTCCATTGCAATTGCACAAATCTTGGTTATGTAGTAGGGAGCATTGAATAGTCTACTGCATCCAAGTAGTGTGCTATCTAGTATACAAATATCTCATTTGTATCTTTTTATTGTCATGCTTGTTTGTTTGAGTGCAGTAATTACTAATTATTTTAGTTAGTGAGTTTGTTGCAATTGTCTTTGTTACATGAGTCTTTGTTTATATATGTACTGGTAGAAATCCATGTTGTTGGCTACAAAAAAAAAGTAAAAATTTAATTTGTAATTGTTAAATAAAAAATTGTTAACTTCGAAAGAAATATTTATTAAACATAAAAAAGTATATAAATAATAATAGAATTATTTATATTTCTTCATTATAATTAGCAAATATATATTTTTATTTATTATAATAACAAAATTTCCAAGTTAAGATTTTTTTTGGATAAATTACATTTATAGTGGTATTTTTGTCTTTATTATTTTATGATATAGGATCTTAATCATATTAAAAGAAATATATCATAAAAGAATAACATACAATTATCTATGTGCAAATATAAGGGTTCTAAGAACTATTCCTATATTCTTCAATGATTGTCCTTGAGATTTATTAATAATCATTACAAATCCTACTTTTATTGAAAATTGACTTAACTACAACTTGAACAAAATCTCTTCACATAATGGATATAATGTGATCTTTAGAAGAAAAGCCAATTGTTCCCTATAGTCTTTAGATAAAACTCTTGCACATATAATTCGATTAGTGAATTATATAATGATTAAACATGATCCATTATAAAGTACTTGAGATGGAGGAGTATTTTAAAATAACATAATATGACATCCGATCTTTAGTTTCAAGCAAAATAGTAGCAATGCAAATAGACTTAAATTATTTAAATACTCAATTTGATAATAATTATTATTATCAACACCATCTTCCATAATTGCTATATTTTTCTTGAAATAAGTACATAAAATTCTAAAAAACCTCTCAATTGTATGCTTGTTTAAATCATTGATATTATAATTTCTTGCAAATAAAATTAACTTATTGATGAAATATTCATTTCTAAGTATCCCATCTTCATCCAAACTTGAATAGATAGCTTAAATGAAATCATTTGATTTTGAACATACTTTCATATGTTTTGGAAGAATCACCATAATTTTCAATGGATCTATGATTATTAATCTACTTTTAATTTATAAATAAAAATTGTTGTTATATATATTACATAAAAATATTATAGCATAAAAAACTTTAAAAAGAAATAATCTTGTATAATGCATATCTTTAAGAGCTCTTCAACAAATAATTGAATTTCTTCAAATATATCTTTTAGGCATGTATTTTTAATCGACTTCTATACTTGAATATTAGATTAAATCTTTGATCATTGCAAAGAAATATCAACAATCTCTTTTCTTTAGTCTTTAACAATAAGAAGAAGAATTAGGCAAAAATCTCCACCAAAGATTACAATAATTCTACCAAAATATTTTATTAGAGCGATTTATGTCTTAAAGAGTTTTATCAAGTGCCTCAACACAATGACAATATTGCATTAGTATCTCATCCCAAATAATAAGAACTGACTTTCCTAACACATCTATGTATGGTACATTCTTTGCAATATTTTAAAACAAATCTTCATGAAAATTGAACAAGTTTTTAAACATAGAGTGTGTAATCAGTCTACTACTTAAAAGTTGTGCTGCAATTTCAAAGGAAGCAATATACAAAAAAAGATTCCATCACTTTGGAACTTCATTGTTATTTTATTGTACAAAAATATTTTTTTACTTCTTGTTGGTCTTTTCAAAAAATATAACTTTCAAAGATTATTATCTACTAAAGTATAGATATTCAAATATATGATATATTGCTTATCATTCAATTATGACATATTGCCAAGGATATGAATCTCAAAGAAAGAAAATCTTAATACATTCTAATGTGAAACAAAAAAGATTAAAATATCATTCAAAGATAATAATATATTAAATTAGAATGGCAATTGCCAAAGACAAGTAGACTAGAAAGTCTTGAAACAAGACTATAAACTAGAAAGGCATTGATAAGAGTGAAGGAGGCTCCACTCTTGCTTCCATATATACCAACTAATTAGGAGATATATTTTCGTATTCTAATACAATTACATGGTGAAAATATAATCAAAAATAAAATTTTAATCAATATCTAATCATCTTGGTTTAATAATAATTCATGATATTTAAACATGGTTTTTATAAAAGCCTCTAAGTTTATTTTCTTATCTTAATAGCTAGTAGATTAAAGGTTGATTAATAATTTTACCTTTTAGGCTGTAAAAATTCTTTTATTGCTTTAGAAAGGCCTTAAATTAATAAAACCAAGTTAAAAGAAGTAAATAATTAGCATGGTTGATACAAAGATTAAGTTGAGCATATGGTTGGACTAAAAAATCCTTAGGATAGATTAGCTTGATACTCGAGGGTCAACCATTTGTCGAGCAGGGTCAAAATTAGACCTCCAATTATTAAAATGATCGACTAGAACAAAGTATAGAAAAATTTTAAGATTGGCAATTAGGAATAATGAGCTAACTTTAGGTTTATTCTAAAAGTATAAGGCTTATTTTTAGAGGTTTTGGAATGACTTTGCAATTATTATTAAAAATCAAGATTTGTATTGATGATTTGGAATTTATGCAATATAATTAGGCTATCATTCTTAGCTAATTCGAGTAATTGATATCACATCTATGATTCAAAATTTGATAGTGCTTGGTTGATTGGGTGTACTAAGTGCATGTAAAATTTTGTATTAATCTAATGGTACAATTGAGAGATATCTAGATTTTGGTACAAGAAGATATTAGAAGTTGGCAGTTTGAGGTTGAGTAGGATTTCTATGATATCTGAAGATCTATTTGTTGAATTAAGGAAAAATATGGCATGAGAGTAGAAGACTTTAAGATTAAGCTATACACTAATTTTGAATTGAAATTAATGGTTAAAAAAAGAAAAATTACTATAGGAACATCTACATCAACTTTTAAGTTGGTGACCAAGTGACATTAGTGCAATTTTTGGACTTTTTTTGCCAACCTATAAGTTAGATTAGGATAAATTTTTTAAACATGTAGAAGACTTGTAGTAGCATTTGTATGAATTTTTTTACACTAAATGAATGGTCAAATTAAGAATTATAGCTTATTGAAATTTATTGATTATGATTTGAGCTTGCAAGGAAAAATTGAAATTACCTAATTATAAAAGTAATAAGGCGATTGGAATATGTGTATGGTTGAGATTACTAAGAAGAGTATTTTTAAGCACTTTGTATTGATTTTAAATACTTTTAAATTAAAATTTGAATTATTTTGTATTTAGATATTTGAAACCTATTAGATTTTTTGAATATAACTTTACGTTCTACAACTAGGTGCCCTGTGCATTTTCAAGTAAGAATTTACATAATATGACAACATGGCAATGTTTTCTAGGATCTCCAATATGTGTTGACTTTACAAAATACATATCTTAACTTGCAAGGCAAATTTTTTATATATGCATCATATAATTAACTTATTTTACAAGCTATTAATACGTCATGTTGTAGTTTGGCTTCTATGTGAAAATAATGCATATAAATATTTAATATATAATTTATTATATAATATGATAAAAATTATATTATTAGATTTTAATTAGTGACAAAATATGATTAGATTACTATTTTAAAGTAGTTAGTTTAAAAAGACTATTATTGAAGTTGATTTTATATTGATAATAGTTTATATATTTAGAGCCATCTTTATTAGATATTGGTGATTCTTGAAATTTTGATTTGTTTCTTTTATTTAGTGTTTAGGATATTTTTTTGTAAAACTTATAAAAAAAAATGATTGGAGAGGGATTTTGGTAGTAAAAAGAATAGTTAGGGCATCTATATAGATAAATGGAGATAGATGATGAAAATCTCCATTGCTATGGACCAAAATACATGTCCAATGGACTTTAAGGAGGCTACTTGAGGCCTTATTAGGAATTAGGATTATTTATTGAAGCAATTCGAATCTAAGAGGCTA